CAGTCTCAGTCTTGTCAGGTAAAACTTGTTCCTCTTCCATAACATCTTTTAAACACAGTCTGTCTATAATAGCAGACACTCTTAAAGTTGACTTCTGGATCCATTGTTTGCAAATATCCTTCAATATCTCTGATGTTAAAGTATTTTGCTCCATTCTGTATTAGTAAATCAAATGTAAGTCGTCTTCTTTTTTAATTGTAATCTTTAGTTCCTTCTGGTTCCCTCTAGTGTCCAACCTTCAAAGTCCCACTCTGATGTTAAAGTATTTTGCTCCATTCTGTATTAGTAAATCAAATGTAAGTCGTCTTCTTTTTTAATTGTAATCTTTAGTTCCTTCTGGTTCCCTCTAGTGTCCAACCTTCAAAGTCCCATCCTATATTTTTTTTTAAGAATTCAAAACAATAGCACTTTCCTACAGGAAGGATTCTTATAATGCATTTCAAAATCTTATTTCAAATCCTTCTGGACCCTTAGTCCATTTGTAACTTTCTATTTTTCTTTCTATTTTTTCCTTCTTCTCTGCACTTTTTATTTTTTCTTTTTCTTTTTTTCTTTTTTAGTTTGTACTAGGTTATATCTTTTTAATTGTAATGATTAATAAAATTATTATTAAAAAAAAAGAAACAAGATTTGTGCATACCTGTTGGATGCATATTCTTTTTTCCATGTGACCCAAAATTCTAGTTGCCCTAGAGATTCTGATTGTGGGAAGGAGACTTGGGCATATATTACTAGATATTATTTTTACCACAATACTTAATGGCATAGGAGTTGGGGATATAGCCATGGCCAAGCTGGTGGGCTGTGGGTTTATAGCATGTCATCCTGCCCCAACCTCTGTGTTGCAAAGAAGAATTTGCTTGATGCCTGTAACTCCATCCTCTCCTGCAGGTTCTGCTGAAACTCTGTACAACTCAGTCCATAAGAAAATCTTTACACTTCCAGATGACTGCCTGATCTATCCTGCCCATGACTATACAGGTAAGCTGGTGAGCTCCATGGGATGCTAAGAGTAGTGTAATATGAGGTTATATTCACTCATACCTCATTTTATTAACAACAGCTTTGGCTCTGTTGCAGTCCAAACAAAGCATGGTAGTGATGTAAAAACAGATTTATTGGGGCTTCTGGGGGAGGTATGGTGAACTGAGGATGGCTCTGCGAAAGCAGAGCCAATGACCATGGCAAAGACCAAGGAACCGGTGAGTAGACTGGTTTCTTGGAACTTCTCTGGATAAGAAGAGGATGGGAGATCACCTGTATGTGCTCTGGATGGCTGCTCCTTGCGAGGAGACTCCAGGACAACAGTTTTCCATGGGTTTGAGTGCCGGGAGATGATGGGTTTAGCCATCTTGTTGCAACCACAGCAGAGACTTTTAAAAGACACTAAGTTTGCAAACCTCACTTTCTAATCACTTTCGGAAATTGCTCATTAACTATTTCTAAGCTATTAGAGACCTTCGGAATGACAGGTTTGAAAACGCCAGGTGAATCTGCCTTCAGTCCTGAACAAAGGAAAATTTTAATCATAAGCTTAAGAATTTAAAGAATCTGAAATAAACAGCAAAAAGCTAAATAAGATTTTGATTTTAGAAAATTATAAATGAACAAAGGGTCCAGATAAAATTGGAATATTGAAATTTTTACCATAAGTTTTTGATATTAATTATAAAGTACAGACAGCTTCTTTGGGAAATGAACTAACTGTGAGCCACCCAGAGTCACCCATTGGGGGAGATGGGCGGCATACAAATTTAATAATAAATAAATAGATAGATCCTGTTTTGGTTTTTACAAGACAAAACACAGATAAGCAATTTCATGATTTCAAAAACTGGACATTAGAGGGGGCTAAAGATTTTAGGTAGAGGAAAGATATGCAGGCCTGTAAGATGATGCAAAACATTATGACAGTGAAAATTCTGAAGGAGACTTTTGAAGAATGGAATCAGAAAATACTAGCCACAATATCAACAATGTCAGTAATGATGTCTGCTTCTATGGGTAGATTATGTCCAAAAAATGTTATTGAAGAAATAACAAATGTAGAACAAATTTTACCTGACAAGACAGAGACAGTATTGAAAGTGGATTTACAACTGATAGGCCAAGAGAATGTCTTAGAAAAGGATATTTCACTGGATTTACAAAAGAAAACTGGCTGAGGTTTTAAAATTTAAAAGGCAAAATGGCAAACCAAGAGAGTGACCTGGATAATTTTTTCCTATTGGATTTACAAAAGAGGCTTGTTAAAGCCTTGAAGAACTCTGTGCAATGATACAAAGAAGAAATGAAGAGAAATCGAATCCTACAACAATATCTGAATGAACGAAAGATTAAGACTGTTAGAAGTAAAAGGAAGGAATATAAAGTTGGTTTATTTGATCAAGATTAAAATAAGATATGTTGTTACTTCTGGCTACCCTTTCTGCTGACACCAGGGCTGAAAAGATCGTGTTTTATGGATTTGTTTATAGATAAGATATGGAATGAAGAGATACATGTTTGTAACTTTAGAGAAGGTGAAGAGTTACTAAATTTGTTTATACTTGTGATGAAGGTTGGAAGTCACTTCTTTATATATTTTTTCTTTATTATATTTTTGCTTTTCTCTTCTCTTTTTTCTTTTTCCTTACACTTTTTACTCCTCTCTATTCTATTTTTTTTCTTTAAGTTTAGTTTGTATTAGATTTTACTATTATAATCAAACTTCTTTATACACACATACACACAGACAGACAGATATATTATGGCATGAGGCTTCATGAACTCAAACCTTAAAATTAGTGCATGTTGTATTCCCCCTCTCCAGCCCAATGTTTCAGTTGGTCATTATGATCACTGCTAGTAATTTTAAGAATTGGGTTGAGTTTGATTGCTTTTCTCTTCTTTCCTCAGCCCATTTCCCTTTTGTGTCATATACTCAGATTACAAGCTTCCAGCCATTGGCTGTTTCATTACAGATCTCATTGGAATTCTTTTGGAAGCCTTTGGGGTTGAAACGTCCAACCTCTTTCCTCTTCCTCCTTTCCAGGCCAGACGGTGTCTACGGTGGAGGAAGAACGGACTCTGAATCCTCGTTTGATCTTGCCTAAGGAGGCTTTTGTTGAGCTTATGAACAATCTGAACCTACCCAAGCCCAAACAGATTGGTGAGGCTGGCTTCTGTTCAGGGAGAAGAGCAGAATGGGAGGCCTCTTCTGGACTACTATCTGCTCATATTACAGCTCTTCTGGAAGAACCTCTAGA